CTTTCTGCAGAGCAGCCGTTACACTTGTGGGGTTGGCCAGAGATTGTGTATCTCCCAAGCTTTGTAAACTCTCGCTGTAAACTAAGACGCCCATTTACCGCAGAGACTAAATCTGTAAATTGAAAATATCTGGGGGTGGAGGGAAAGCCTGGTGATCTCCAGGCACCGAGCTCCTCTCCAGCTTGAGAGCAGTCCAACGCTCCTCGCCAGAGCGCAGGGAAATCAGGCAGCGTGGAGGGCAGCAGTGCTCTGCAGACCCCAGCACACCAGCGTGGTGCAGACCCCTGCCACGACATTTCCTGGCTTTCCGCCCTCCCGTAAGGCAGAGGAGGAGCGTGTGGCATTGACCCACGCTGGGCCAGGCAGGGCTGAGCACACTGCTGACAGCTCCGGCTCCAGCGCAGAGGGGAAAGGATTTTTCCCACTGCCTAAAACAGATTCGCCTGGGTTCAGCTCATTTTGCTTTGTGGGAACAGCTTTAATAACTCCCCCGTGTGAGGAGAGGTTACTGGGTTTTGTACACACTTGAAAGGCTGATAGCTCCTCACCACGGCTGGCTGGAACCAAAACCCCGGCCATAAATCCAGGATGAGAGCCGGGCGCTGCCTGTGCCTCCTGGCCGGAGCTGGGACATTTCTGACCACAGCTTTTGTTTCTGGCTTTTTTTGTCGGGGGAGCAGGCGGAGGGGAGGAGACCAGATCTCCCTCAGGGTTAGCCCAGGTTTACTCCAGCCGGGTGCAAGAGGAAAGGCTGTCCCAGGCGCTGGCGTGTCTTGTGCTCACACCCTGCAGCGCTGAGAGCACCCAGAGCTGTGCCCAGCACAAATGCCAGCTCGGTCTGGGGTCCCATCGCATCCCCACCCTGTGTGAGCCTGGGTGGCTCCAGCGAGGGGAGCAGCACGCCGCTAGCGGGGCTGAGCTGTCCATGCCCCTGGCCCCCAGTAAGCACCTCCTCACCACCCCTGTCCTCACTGAGCCGTACCTGTGGTTTCAGACGTGGACGAGTGTGCCGGCCAGAACCACAGATGTGGTCAGCTCTGCATCAACACGGCCGGGAGCTACCGCTGCGCCTGCCGGGATGGCTTCAACCTCGCTGCCGACGACAAGGCATGCCAGCCCCTGGTGCCAGAAACCTTCAGCCAAGCAGGTAACCTGTCCCCTGTTGCAGGACAGCCCTGGCTCCTCAGGGCCTTTAATGAAAGCTGGGATTAACACTCAGCATCACAGGGGGGCTGGAGCAGGACTGGCAAAAGACAGGAGAGGGGACGACAGCCAGAACCCCTCAGCTTTATTGCCAGTGTCCCGGGAGACCCTCTACCACCCAACCAACCTTCCCTGTGCACAAATCCAGATACTGCTCCATCTGCAAGGGTGACAGAGCCTATCCGTGGTGTGTGGTGGCCAGGATGCAGCAGTTCTCTCCATCATCATCGTTGTCGTCCTTCCCGCAGGGCAAGTCCGGAGCCACGAGGAGCGGCGGGTGCCGCTGGTGACGGCCCATTATTACTTTTGGTACGCGCTGTGACACTTCAAACTCGTACCGTGAGTAATAATGCGCTGTGGCCAGCACGGGCATCTTGTGGGAAACGCCTGGGAGAGCAGGGCATCGTCTGCACATGCCCCGCAAGCCACCTGCCCTTACCCCGTGTCCAGGGCCCTCAGCAGGGATGATCCTTTGTGCCCACCATGGGACGGGGCAGACCTGGGTGCTAACTAATCTGACAACATGCGCACGAAAGGCCAGGCTTCGCCAGGCTTCACCAGACGTCTTATCCTTTTAGCATCACCCCACTGCCTGAAAAATTCCCCGTTTTGTTGCAGGTACTCCAGCAGCACTCCTGTGCGCATTAGCAGCAGGACTAGATGCCAGTGCTTGCAGCAGGCGTTGGATCTGATTGATGCTCCAGGGACTGATCCCAGCAGGGCAGACCCTGGGGGTCTTATTAGGAGGGGAGTGGAAAGCAGCAGAGCTTGGCCTGAGCCCTGCAGCAACGTCTCTCCCCAGCACCTTCCACTTCACCTTGGGCAATGGGCTTTTACTCACTGACCTTTTCTTGGTCACTTTTTCAGGTCCCCCCAGTGAAATGAAGGAAGAAATGAATGACCTGAAGAGCAGAGTGGAAGCGCTGGAGCAGGTGAGCTTTCAGCACACCCCTCTGCCATGTCCTGCCCTCACTGCCCTGCTGCAGCTTGAGGCTGCGCTCAGCCAGCTCCCACCCCAGGCTCTGCACAGCCAGGGTTTCCCTCCGCCCCGGCTCTATTTTTAACGTCATGCTGGCCTCACGCCGCAGCGATCCCAGCTGTGCTCCACGCTGCTGGCAGCGCCCACGCAGCAGCTCTTCCAGGCCGGCGGCCCTTTGAACGCAACCAAAGCCCCGTGAGCTGGCTGGCGTGCCGCCCTGATGGGGTGCACCATGGCAGGCGACATGCTACGTCCCGCCGGGTGGTCCTCGTGGCTGGGAAGGACATGCTTATGGCTCTCCTTTCCCTGCAGAAACTCCAGTTGGTGCTGGCCCCCTTCCACAACCTCATGCCATCTGCACCGGAGGACGTCGGCGCAGACCCCATCAGCCGGCTGTCCCACTCCCTCCAGCAACTGGACAGAATCGATTCCCTGAGCGAGCAGATCTCCTTCCTCGAGGAGCGGCTGGAGACATGTAAGTGCCTGGAAAAAGTATTTCACTCCACCCATACTAGCCATGGCAAGCAGATGTGGGCCAGCAAGATCAGTAACACATATGCCACTATTAATCTATATCTCCCTCAAGCTCAGCAGCCTGTAATTAATAAAAGATGAACACAAACAGCCCATTAGCTCATTTCAAAGCTGTTTCTATGGCTGCACCATCTGACTGCCCTTGCAGCAGCCAAAAATCCTAAGATCAGCACACGGAAACATGGCTCTGGGGCAGAAGCAGAGGGAGCCCACTGTGAGCAGTGGGTCATGTCTCGCAATCAGCACCCTTGGCATGTACTGTTATAACTTAGTCCTTAGAAAAGAAACCCCAGCTCTTAGGAAATTAACAGTCCAAAAGGTCAATCAATCAGGAGAGTTTAGGGAGCGTGCAGAAGTTGGCAGATTTACGAGCCTGGGAAGTTTTAGGCATTTCTTTTTGAAGTCTACAGACTAGTCCTTTGCCAAGCAGTGGACCAGAGAGGGTCTCCTAAGTAGCAAGCTCTGAAGAAGAGACACTGGTGAGAGCTGTCATGTGTGAAGTGGCTGAAGGTGGGGGGTCTTGCCTGGTGTGCTCCCCACTGCAGAGTGGGGCAGCATCCCCCCGGGTCCCTGAGGTGTGCGCAACGCTCTCCCTGGAGCACTGCAGCTTTACTCAGAGTAGAGCAGAAACCATATGAAAACTATTTTGATAGGCAGTTCTTTGCAGCTCGTTTTCCCATTAAATAATTCCAGTCAAACACGTCCAGAAACTAGGCATGGTTGGGCCAGCTCAGGAGCTGGTGTACAGCAGCAGCTGGTGCTCATGGCAGAAGGGTGAGGGTGCTTGGAAAGACTTAAGGGGAAACCGTTTCGGGGCAAATCCAGTCCCAGTTCACTGCTTGCAGTAATGGCTTAGATATAAAAGACTTCAAAGAACTTGTTTGAAGACTAAGTAACTGCAAACAGACACTTAAAAAACATCTCAGAAAGGGGTAATCATCAGAACCAGAGTGTTCCAGCAGACCGAGTTTCCTAGTATTGCCCTGTACATATCATTAGTGACAGCACTGAGGAATGCGAGCAGTATCACAAGGTAACATGGATTTATTCCAAGGGATGACTCCGAAGTCCTGAAATTAACTTCTGCCAAGCCTGTTCCAGCAAGCAAAACTTGTTTTTGTCCCCCTCATGGTCTTGAAAGTCCCTGGAGGACACAAGACTGTTCTTTCATATTCCAGCAAGCACTGGGGCTTGCAGGGCATCCCATGGAGAGTTAAGTAGCCATCCATTTTCTGTGCCTTGCGAATCATTTCACAACTGAATGCTAAGATACAACTGCACTTTCCAATTATCTGCCCAGTGGGGATATGTGTAAGGACTAAAAAACATTTTTTTCTTCTTTAAACCACCTCTGAAGGCACAAGGTCGGATCTTTTTAAGGCATAACCATTTTAGCCCCTCTAAGTCTGAATTACCCCCACTTCAGCACAGACTGTCAACGCTCGGCTGTGACACAGCCAGTTAGCAGCACGACAGACTCACAACTGCATGTGGCTGGGCAGCAGCCACCCCATGCAGTCCCTTCCCCAGCCCAGGGAGCTCCCTGTGCGCTGGGGACTTTGGTGACCAGCAGTGCCTGCTTCCGATTACTGTCACACAGAGCCACTGGCTGTGTCTGCAGTGGGGACAGGCTGGCCCCAGCCTCCTGTCCTGGGGCAGCCAGCACTATTGTCACTGGCTTCCCCCCACCCCTGGGACACTTTGCACAGGACTTCCCAGGCCCAGGCGAGGATTGGGGCATGCCAGGGAGGAGAGAGTGACACTCCCAAATGTGGCGGGACAGAGCCAGCCTGGGGTTGTTTGGCAAAGTGAAAGCAGCAAGTGTGGGTGACACTCACAGAGGTTGAGGTCAATCTCATCCTTCTTGGGGAGACAAACCAAACCCAGGCTAACATTGCTGAATTGTTTTTTTTGGGTTTTTTTTTTTTTTTTTTTATCTTCCCAGGTTCCTGCAGGAATGAACTCTAGCCAAGCGCCTGAGGAATTGGAGTAAGCAGAGTGTATCCGCAGCTCTTCTCTCACTGTCCAGCCCTAGGCTGGGGACGAAGCCACATCATCTGCAGGAAGGCACAGGGTAGCAGGAGAAGGCTGGTTTCCCATCAGCATCTCCATCATCTTCTCTTCCAACTCACCTTATCAAAGGTCACACAGTTACTTCCAAACTGGACCCCAAGCCCTCAGCATCTCACCTCCTTCCTGCTAGAGCGGCAGAAAATAAATGCCTTACCTCGTGCCATTAGTGCCTGTCTGGCTGTGCCAGAGAGACCGGCTGTACATGAAGCTGTGTGGTGCTTAGCTTTGCCTGGCTTTTACTTAGCATTACCCTGGGACATCATCTTCCAGTGGAGCACAGACCTGGCCCAGGCAGGACAGCTGTCCCCCATGCTCCCCCTACCTGCTCCCACCCAAAGAAGGGGGGAGCAAGTCCTGCATTTGGAGGACTATGGCCAAAAATGCCTGTGGCAGAGGGTCAGCCCCAAACCAGGCATCATGGCAGTCCCTGCAAAGGTACTGCGCTGGCTGGGTACAGGAGTGGGTGCCCATCCCTGCAGCTTCTGTTCTGCTCTCTGGCACCAGTCTCCCTCCACAAGTGCGGGAGGTTGGCTGCAGCAGCTTGCTCTGAAATTACCTGCTCCTACTCACGGTCCTCTGCACCATCCCTGGGCCCTACAGAACAGTAACAAGGATGAGGTAACAAGGTGCAGAGAGTCTGTTTTTACTTGCTTTAATAGAAAACCTTTCCCTGTGACACTCCCATTAACAGCACAGCACAGACAGGGACAAACCTGTGCCACTCAGTAATGCCACCAGGGTGAGGCTAAGGAGGGAGGGACAGTCCTCTGCACACCTGGATCGGGGACCAAGGCCTGGCACATGCACATGTTTACGCTGTCAGTGTAGCCGGTCCCTCCCAGATCCAAGAGCCACTGCGCATGCACCTACCTCCCCCCAGCACTGTTTGCTCCAGCCCAAGGACACCAGTACAGCAGAGCAGATGTGACCAACCCGGTACAACACTTTCCTACTTGCCTAGAGTGGAGCTGCAGGAGGAGCTGTGTGCCACACAGGCAACAGGGTGCTGCACGGGTTGTACCAAAATAAAGCTTCCTGCTGTGCACGCTGAGGCTGTGGGATCGTTACTGGCTGGGAAGGTGCTTGTTCCAGGGCCCTACTTTGACATGGGCACCCATCCACACAGGCACCACCTTCCTCTTCCCCCAAGACAGTTCCCTGCAGGCATTTGTCCTCCAGCACATTTGTTTGTTCAGGCCAGGCTGTGGCTCAGCGTGAGGCTGGGGTGCAGAAGCATGGCCCTTCTGCCCATGGGACACAGGGTGGGGACAAGGACCTGCCATTCCCCCTCAGTCACCAAACCCACCCCCTGCAAGAGCTGAAGGGTCAGCATCCTTCTTCCTCCCACAGCAGCCCTCCTCCCTCAGCTCCCACACAAGACCAGGAGTCTCCTTTATTTAAATAACCAAAGGTGTACTTTTTTTTTTTAAAGCACATAACATTATTCTCAACCCAATTAAAAGTAAACAGCAGATAAGTGCACACAGAGGCACCACTCCCTCCTCCCAGGGAAGGATGCTGCAGCAGTCACTCCATGGATGTGGTTATCCCCCCCAGGAGTCCTCCTAGGACCCTCCTGGGTTTAACCTCCATGACAGCCGTTTATCTGCCGCTCTCACAAAGTGCTGGTTCGGTTCCCATCCTCCCACCCCGACCTGTCCACAGCGGGTCTGACCCCTGAGTCTGTACCGTAAGGCCCCTCCGATAAAGCCCCCAGCCCCTGCCAGCACCAGCTCAGCCCGAGGGCTCCCTGCCTTGGGGACTGCTGGCTCTATGGGAACTCCCTGCCTTTCCCAGTTGAGGCTTTAACCCCAGAATGCAACATGACCGCAATTCAACCAACGCAGCTCCAGACAGGCTGCAAAAGCCAGCTGTGTCAGTGACCTGAGTAGCCCCAGGCGGCTTATCTCGAGGTTATACACCCTGCACCACAAACAGGAGAGCTAAAGCCTCCCTGAACCCAAGTTAGAGGTGAAGGTTACCCCCTGGAACCATGGACCTGACCCAGCCTTGCTCTTCACAGAGGTCATGAACACTTCCACAGCTCCCAGCGAGGGATCCAGGAGCCCTGCTGGTCCATCACCCCAAAGCACAGAGGAAACCCCTTTATCTGAATGGGGGAAGGAGCCCATTTGCCCCAAAGGGAGAGCTGAAGCCTGAGCCCCATTACGGTTGCAGCTCACCCACCCTGCGGCTCTGCAGGAGTTTCACAAGCCTTGCAGAGCAGCAGCTCCACTGAGATCTGCACAAAGACACGCGGGACAGGCACCATCTTTCGGCCACTGCTGACCATGACAAGTGGCAAAACAAGCATGACAGAGCCCTTCGCATCTGCAACAAGTACTGCAGGCACTACTGTGACAAGGTCAAACCACGGCAGGGAGCTGGCAGCACGGTATCCCAACACCAAGGAAGCTCTGAACCAACCCAGGTGCAAGTCACAGACAGCGTCCAAAGGGGTGCCACAAACAAGTCACAGGTTTGCCCAGGACTCTGACAGATCTGTGCAGTTTTTAAAATCAAGCTGGTGGCTCTGAATGGCAGAAACAAGCGTGAGGTTTCATTCAGAAGATCACTAAACTGGCAAGGATGGACAGCATTCAGCTAAACTCTGCCCATGCCATATACGCTGGCTTGGTCAGACTACAGCTTCCTTCCCCACTGCTGCAGCCCTCAATGAGCAAGGGCACTTGTTCAGACAAGGCAATCAAGCCCGAAGAGACACTATAAGGCTGACTGGCCCCACACATTCCTCTTTGCAGCCCAGCTGAGGTTATTGGCCCTAGGTGCTTTCAGAAGTGAAAGACTTGGCTAAGGAGTGCCTGGGCAACACAAAGCCCCAGCACAAGATGCTGCTGTGACCCAAGGGTGTCTCAAGGAGACAGGCTCTGCCCCAGAGCCTGCCCATGAGCTCCACCATGCCGGATGGCAGTGCTCCGGGCTGCCCAGGGAGGATGCCACACTCCCAGTGCTGCCGAAGAGCCAGTCTGGATTTCCACCTGATTCTCAGCCCTGTTTGAGCAGCATCAAGGTTGTGCAGATACAAACTGCTGCCTGGTGGTTTCCATCTGGGACAGCACAGGGCCAGGCCAGCACTAGCTGAGCCTGCAGGAACACAAGTGCAGGGACACTCACGTGAGGCATAGCCCAGCCTCCAGCCAGGTTTTCGTTGTCACCCCACGCCAGCTGCCTGAGCTGGGGGAACTCACCTCTCTGGTCACTGAGCCCTTTGGTAGCACAAGTTTGATGCCTGAGAAATTCAGAAAAAGGAGACGTTTCATTTCAAGATAATGAACCCATAAGAGAAATCCACTCAACGGGAAACCTCAGCACTGGCTCGACACCCTGTGTGTGCCAGTCCGTGGTGTTCCCAGAGTTAGAAGTCACTGCAGAGGAAGAGAAGTTCCTTCTGTATTTGGCAACAGACAGGTCCCTTCAGCCACCACCACACAGTGACGCCACTGGAGAAGCATCTAGGACGAGTCCTTCGCCTCGCTTGGACGGCCCGACAGCCTGAAGAGGGTCTCCCTCATGGTGCAGAAGCATCTATCAGTGAGGTCAGAGACATCATCTGATGTCAGGCCTTTGGTCTCTATTGGAGGCAGAACCTCAACCTTGATTTTGCCTGGGAACAAGAGAAAAGCCTATGAGAAACCCACACACGACAGGAGCACTGTTCTCTGCCCTCACAGGATCCCTGCTCCCCCCGCTCTGGACAGCCCCAGCACAGCCCTCATCCCCTCACACGGCCTCAGGCATCCATCCCTGGAGCGCAGGCAGAGGCTGCACTGCTCTCAGGGGTAAGAGATTGCTCTGGGGATTAGACCCAGTCCTCTAACAGCTGCGCCAAGCAGAGTATTTTCTCTGTGCCCCAAACTGACACCCCAGCCAGAGCTCGCCCCTTTCCAAGGCCGGTGTCACTGTTCTGCCCAAGAGAGTAGGCGGAGCCCAGGGCCATCCACACAGGGAACATGGCAAGCATGGCTTCCTCCCAAAAATGAGAGGTATGGCTCCAAGTTGACTGAAAGCCAACTTTCTGCCCAGCACTTGTACTGACAGACTTCAGAGGTTTGATACAATCAGCTTCCTTGGTTTGCTTGCAGAGGGGTCCATGCTTTGAAAATTCAGGTGGCAGAGTATGCTTGCTTCTTTCCCCAAGCCCTCACCAAATGACTTGGGCTGTGCCAGTTATGAGAGGGAGAGGTGGTGTCCAATTTTTAATGAAAACATCCCTCACCGTATTTAATTACATTCTTTCCTGAGTTAACCCAGCCCAGGCTTTGGTGCCAAGTGCTTTGAACTGACTCCACGCATATCCCAGAGGGACGACTCCTGTTCACCCCAGCTCCGCTTCCCTTCCACACCCTTGTGAACCAGATCTCCACATGGGTATGGCATCAACCCTGTCTCCAAGTGACTGTAAAAGCCCTCAGGCTCTTTGGTACCTGATGTAAATAGATTCTTCTTTGGGTTATAGAAGGTGGTGAAGGACGAATACACCACGGGGATCACCGGGACCTTGGGGAAGAGGAAAAAGAGGAGTTACTTGCACTGCAGCAACTCAGGGCAGGCCAGAGATAAGCAGCAAATCCCCGCAGCAGAGCTGACGTGGTCTGGCTCTCAGCCGTACGGGGCACACACAGCCCCACAAGCAAGACCCACTTCCAAAGGCTGGGACAGTCAGGAGTCAAATGCTATCGAAACCACTCGCCAGCAACTCAAGGCACAGGGACATTCAAGGCACTAGGGTCAGCACTGGCTGTCAGGGCTCCTCATCCCAAGCCAGGCTTCAAAACTCAGGTGTTTTCTGACCTGCAAATATTGGAGGATGCCTGTTTTGACAGGCTTTGCTGTGCTGTACAAGCACATGTTTGGGGCAGGCCAGCCGGTGTGCCTTCAGCTTCTAAGAAAAGGAGTCACCAGTCACAGTCAATTGCTCCCAGGGAAGCTTCAGACAGGCAGAGACACAGACAGAAGGGCAGGCACAGAGTCATTATTTCAGTGCTGATAACACAGGCACAATCTACAGTCGGTGACTCAGGGGGAGTGTTAGCAGAGGTGGGTACCATTTCCACTGTCATCCTTTCCTTCTAGCAGCCACCAGCCCCTGCCTTGGTTGCACCACCATGGCAGGAATGGGGATGGTACAACGCAGGCTACACCCTGGGCTTGGCCAGTCGAACCCAGGAAGAGATCTGGCACC